TGTGATATTCTACGTCCTTGTATGAGCTAAAGATTTCAAATGCGGACTTGATGCACTCATACGTCTTGCATATACACAAGTCGAAGTTGAGATTTTGTAGCGGTTAGCAAAATGCCAGCTCAGAAACTGAGTCGCTTGGGATTTTTTGATTTTACGAGAATATCTGTTTAACATAAGTGGGCATTTAGGCATAAAATTAGCTCTGACATACGTCTGTGTCGTGAGTTCTGTTACGTTATAGATTTCGGGTAACAAAAAGCGACTTCGCTAGCCAAACATGCTAGGCAGCTGAAAATTTAGCAAGTATTCTGCGCCCATATGCGACCGAAATTTTACAGTTTGAGCTTTAAAGCATGCCTAGATCTTGCGTGCGTCCGAAGTGAATATTTAGTTTTGGGCAGTGTTGGCAACAAAATAACTTAGTAATTAAAGCCGGAAGTAGTAGAAGTAAAATGACCGTAAGTAATATTTTTCTGAGGATAATTGCTGTTCATGTGAAGGCCACCGCGTAAAATAAACCTCTGCTAATGCAGAGGTCTTGCGTGCCGATGCATCAGATGATCGATTACAACATCGCAGTTACGCTCAAATAGTACAGGCGATTTCTCTACAGAACCAACCATGCAAAAACGCAAGATCGCAGGTCTGGTGAGTAGCTGCCTGGGGGTTTTTTTTCCCTCATCAGTTTGCTTGTGAGTAGTCCTTGAAAGTGGCAGCTATCGGCAGTTTTGCCAGCGGGTGATTGTTGTTGACATCTGCTCGGACTACTTTTCGAGTGCCTTCGTCTTTCATGAGAGCAAATAGTGAGGAGGTCTTTGATTTCTTCGTCGCAACTGCAATAAATCGCAACGCGCACCAGACTAGCCGGTGCGGTCATGCGTTTTGTGCAATTCAGCCCATCGAACGATTGCCTATTAATGATTTTCACTGCTTTGTACTTTTTTCTATGCAAAAATAGTTCAAAAATTGGAAAATAATTAAAAATTTCACGCACCAGCGCATGAAAGCTGAATTCGAAACCGTGAAGGGTGAATATCTTTCCGCGATTTAGCCGCCAAAATTCTCACGAGGTGATACTCAACAGCGAGGGGACGCTGAATTTGAATAGGCAAGGTTGAGCGTGGGCAGGAAGTTACTCTAGAATTTCAGCTTCCTAGACTTCGTGGTTCCTGAGATATTGATTTACCCGTAAAAAACTTTCACTGGGCCGTAAGAATTACCTGCGGGTACGAGAAGACTGAATTTAAATTTGCCGCGTCACCCGTCGGCGGGGGACACTATACCAGAATTTCAGCCATCTAGCTTTTGTGGTTCCCGAGTTGAAAGTGCGGGACAAAATGTGGGACACACACACACACAGACAACCCCGTGGCAGTATGCGTTTTGTAACACTGTTACACAGCACAAAACGCATAAAAACTCTTACTGTCTAGAGCCCACTTATCGCAAATCGGCACTCCAGAACGGCCTATCCGAGCCAACTTTTCGTAATTACCTTACTTACCGAGTTGTAGAGACATTCTTCGGTTGTAGGGTGGCGTGACTTTTGGCCCAGTAATCGGGACGACTCGGGAAAGCTGTGGATTTCGGAATGTTTACTGAATCGTATTGCCCAAACTCGGTAC